TATCTTAATTTCAAACAAGAGCCTTAAATATACATAATTATAAGTAAGAAATAATAAATGTATAATACTTATGTATGTACATATATAAGTAAGGTTGAATAACATAACATAACTAAAAAAAAACAATGTGTCTAAGGAATATGACAGTTACAAAAATCGGTTGTTTTTTTTTCTCTTAAAACTATAACTTTGCATATTAATCAGTCTATAAAGCTGGACTTTTGCGCTTACTTTATTTGCAATAATACATAATTGAATCTTTAACTTCACTAACACGGTTGCCACTTCATCAAAATTTTGTGTACCACAATGTGCAAGCAAAAAGGCCCGAAATAAAATGAAATGTACCATTTTTTGCCGTCCAACGAAAATATATACAGTGAATCAAACAAGTGACCAAATGTTGATTGTTTTTTAATGTTCGTAATGTTTTTTGAACAATTTTTTTTTGTTATTTTTGTTTATAACTTTATAAAAAATTTAGGAAAGTTCGAAAAATTTGCATCAAAATTTCAATTTTTAATCTGATTCTTAAATTTTTGGGTATGCGCTTTTATAGCCCATACAATTTAGATAAATAAAGCGCAAGTTTCAACCGCCTAAAAAATCGCGTTGCTTTTTGAGAATTTTGTTTTGGGGACGGATTTTTGTACTTTTTTTTCATTCAAACATGATTTTCTTATGAAATGAAATGTATGCAACAAAATTTCAAAAAATCAACGCCAATTTTTTTAAATTACACTTGTTATATATAAAAAACACCGTACAAGCAGCCTCTCCAAACAAAAATTCTCAAAAATCAACGCGATTTTTGGGTGGTTGAAACTTGCACTTCATTAGACTAAAATTGTATGGGCAATAAAACTGCATACCCAAAAATTGTCTAAAGATTCAGATCAAAAAGTTTAAAATTTGTTGAAAGTTTGTCGAATTTTCCGAAAATTTTGTTTAAAGTTTGAAACTGTGACTGCTGCTTATTCAAACCAATGTTGCTTCAAAAAGGCCGAAAACAAGCAAGAAATGCCCAACCGAAGAAAAAAGGCCCATATTTGGCACAATTGTACCAAAGTGGCAACCGTGATCACTACGGCATTCGCCAATGCAGTTTAATAATAAAATTTTATATATGTATGATTGTATTATGTAAAACATTTCAAACAAGTTTAAGTCTTTAGTGAAAAACAGCTGAGCTCCATAAATATATGCTACCGATTCTGACAACTATATAGCTATTCTTATACCATATACTTATGTATGTATGTATATATGAATATTTTATAATTATAGCAATAATGCCAGAATGGAAGAAGCAATCATTTATGTACATAGTTCTTGGCCGCGTATGCAGCAGGAACTCAGCTTTTTTTTTGTTTTTTTTAATAGCGTGTGCGCAAATAAATGAACAGAACGTGTGAAGCATTTGTAAGTAAGTATATAGAAGGTTTCTTAGTTACAAAATAAAGAAAGAAGATCTGGACCAAATGAAGCCATTTCAGTGTCATTTTTACTTAATAGCCGAAAACAGTTACTGGTTTAAGAAATTTTAAGGTTTTGTTTGTCTTTTCGTTGCTTTCTTTAGTTTAGAATTTCATTGAATTTAATAACAATGAATTGTGCAGCAAACAAGTTCAAAAATATTTCGTTCTATTCACTTAAATTTCACTTCATTGCTATTCATTTGAACTATGTGTACCAAGAAATTTTGCTATTTATTTCATTGTTGGCTCTGGTGAATGACTTTTCTTCGCCTTGACTTGTTCGCATTTATTGTTGTTATTGTCTTTTTCGTTTCATTGTTCAGTTGTTTTATCCCTTTGTTATTTACCCCTGTGCTCTTACGCGAGACACAAAAGTTTCTTCCACAGCGGTCGTTTTGGTGTGGATGGCAAGGTGGTTGGCGCAAGCCCTTCCCAGATGGCTGTATCGAAAACTTCCTTAACTTTGTCCTGAAATGGAAGAATGAGCAAAAGAGTTTGTATTTAGTAAAAAGGATTTTAACTTTAATTGTATATTATAGTTATGTAAGAGGGTGATAATATTTTCTAACTTTCTTAAGATACTAGGGAAGGCGCGTAAGTGCGGTGCAGGACCCTCCAGTCGGAATCCAGCCGAATGGTAAGGACTCTTTGGGAATGCTGACCAAGAATTAGCACCTTCCAATCCAAGGTATTACGCGAAACCGAGCCCATTGGATGGTTGACAGCTATCTGAATTGATGCCAATATAAGTCACGAATAACTTTTAATATGGCCAGCAGTTATAAAAGCCATAGAAAAGCGAGGGAAGAAACTCGTCAATATCCGATACGTAAACAGAAAATAATGTATCGGCGCATAAATAAAATATTAAAGAGAAAAGTGAAATTGGAAGCCAAAAAGCCTGGATATTATTTTTTAAAGATGAGAAAATTATGATTTTTCATCGCTACACACTTCTGAACCCTTTACAAAAGTTGATGTTATGGTTTAACTATGAAAGTTGCACTATGATGGGGTTAGTAAGCTGTACTTCTGTGTGAAAACCATCCAAATTTTGGACGGGATATCAAGCTTTTATTAGGAACTTTGTACAGCAGTCCAGTTGTAATGAAATCAGTTAGACCATAAACTACTTTCTCTGTTCAAGAGGTTACAACTTACACTGCACGACATCGAAATTTTTAGTACCTATTGAAAGAGTGTCCCTGCCAAAACAATGGGGAATATTCCAATGTAACTGCAACCACACCATTGAAAGGCATATGGGAGCCATTTTAAATAAGTAAATGAATGAACAAATAAAAGAGGGAAAAGTATTAAAATAAATATAGTTAATTGTTTTCGTTTTCTGGCAAAAAAACTGTGTGCCAAAACATTGGCTAGAGCAAACTTTCAAATTGAAATTAATTTTAAAAATTTTAGCAAATAAATGTGAAGGAAAGTGCATCAAGTTTAACATGTTTACATTTCAACACCAACAAAATGGACACTATACATGTGTACATGTGTAAACAAAAGCTTACATTTTCACATTAGCTTACCTGTGTTGCTGATGAAGTCTCGATGTATTTCGCGCCAACAGTTGCTGCCAAATCCCAGGCATCAGCGTATGAAATTGGTTTTTCGCCATTAAGCTGATGAAATGCAGAAACAAAAACCAAGTTTCAGCCATTCAACGTATATGTATGTATGTACATATATATGTACATGTGAACGTAACGAGGAATGGAAATGTTGGAATTGTTTTATTTGATGAACGGTTTCATTAGGCATATCCAAACGAAACGAAATGAAATGAAATACAAGTAAATAAAATTTAAAAAAATATTTATAAGTATTTAAGTACATATGCATGTGTGAGAGCTTGTGACAAAGCTAAACTAACAGTGAGCAGGGCGTATACGCAACGTACAGAGTGTCACCAATCTACTACTTACTGAAGTGCATACAAATCAACATTTTTGCTTTTTCGCTGTAACTTCTCTCATGCTCTCACACTAATACAATTGTTATATGTAGATATGTGTATGCATATAGTATGCACTGTCCTCTGCATATTTGTTACACACGCGCATACCGCTCACTTACCTGCAATTTATTCAACACTTGCGCATCGTTGCGCAAATCCGCTTGTGTTCCGACAAGTATCAATGCGGCCTTTGTCTTTGAGAATTTGGGTGCCCATTTCGTTTTCACAGCATGAAAGGTATCCGGCTTCACCACGGAGAAGCACAATAGGAACACATCGCTATCGGGATAACACAATTGGCGTAGTTTATCCAATGTATCCTGGCCGGCGGTGTCGCAGATGGTAAGGTGCACCGGGCTATCGTTGACCAGTACATCCGCTGAAATGGTAAAATTTCAAAATGTGTTAAAGCAATTGAAAAGTATATACAGTCGAAACTCGATGGTAAGACTACTCGATAATCCGAATATTCGGTAATCGGAAAGCACTTATCTTGCTATGCTATTTTGCAAAATATATACATGAGTTTCGATGTTAAATATTTGGCAGCGTTAAGAAATGTTGTTTCCCATGTATTTTGTTGTTGTATGTTTGCAAGTTATGCAATCCATGGCTTTGCAAGATTTGGAGAATACCACCCCTTATGTATTACGCCAGTAGATATGTATGTAAACATGTCAACAAAATAAGGCTGTTTATCATTTTAATCATAGATTCAATACAGAATTGTGATATGAGCAACTTCAGGTGAAATTTACATACATAAATATAAACAAATTTCCTAATTATTTTGTTGAATAAATTTTATTCAATTTGCGTCTAATTATTTACATACATATGCATGTATGAACGTATGTAAACACAGACGAACAGACGCTACAGCTGAACTAACACAAATACGTGGATATGTTTATATGTAGATGTATGTAAATATTTATAGGTAAGTACTTTATACAAATATTTTAAAAAATAAGTTTATTTAGTTCATGGATGTTTCGAGATATTCGCGTGAGTTGCGCTTGTTGTTCTTTCGAAGTCTAGTTTAGAGACGAAAACAGCTGTACTACTTGACAGTAAATGTAATAATATTTTCGTACGTAATTCCTAATACATAATTGCGATACATGTCGGTAGGTGGGTATGGTTAAAAACACACACCACGTTTTTTGTGTGCGGGTGTAATTTTTTTTAATTTAAACTTTCGCTGACCAATATATTTTTAGATTGTCATCGTAAGTTTGAAAGTTGGGCATTTATGGTTGAACCTTTTTAGAAGTTTACTGATGATATTTCTAACACTACATATGCATATATACATACATACATACATGCATGAAAACACAAAGGCCGTGGATGATTTTGGGACGTAAGATATTGTATTTCAATTCCTCCCTTTTTGAAACCCTTTTTCGCAATGCTTTTAAAAGCTTATCCTTTTGTGAAAAGCACATTCGTTTGATTGGCGCTGTTGTGTTGAGCTACTGCTTTTAACTCTAAATCGTTACATATAACAATTGAGCATTTTTTTGGTTTACAAGTAGCTAAACTTCTATGTGTATGAACCAAATGTGTGTGTGTGTGCAAGTACTATTCGAGCGTCAAAGGGTGTAAAATAGCGCTACATAGCAATTTTCTTAAGAAATATTGAAAATTACTCCTTATACTATACACTCTGGGTGGGTGATTGCCTAAATGCCACAAAGGAAATTGAAAAGAAGCCAACTATCTGCCTGTCGAAAATGACAGATAGTTAAAGACTCTTGTAGTCGTGTTCAATTAGGCGCTGCTCATTCTTAAGCTTTTGAGCATTTAAGCACTCAATTGTGCGCATTCAATAACCGGTGCACCGGTGTGAGTGGTTCGGTCCTTTTGCGCTGTTGCGCCTAGTTGCTTTCATTTCCTTTCAAAGCTCGTTGTTACACCAAATTAGCCACAATCGCTTACAATTGTTTAGCAAAATGTGTATACATACATATATATGAATGTGCATTAGGGTGGTAAAAAAAGAAGTCGGAATTTTAAACCTCTCAACCGCAGAATTTTTCTTTAGCAAAAAAAATAGACCACTTTTTTATTTTGAAAACCAAAAATATTTAAAGGTCACTCACAGCGCTCAAATTAGTTTTCATAGAATAAGTTTGTTTTTCTGCACGAGACTTTCAGTATATACTCAATATTCAGTATAACACTCAATGGTGTATTTAAGAAAATTTTAATTGTAACTATTTTTTTTCTAAATGTCTAATAAATAAATAATAAATTTGCGCTTACATAATAAGTTGGTGTTTCGCCGAGCTTCTTCTCCGATTTGTGACGTGCGCCTTGATGTTGTCACACAAAGGGCAGGGACCTTTACGGCGACTCCGAATGGCGATTTTATTTTTATGAGTAGCTGTTTTTAATGGCAGAAATACACTCATAGGTTTGCCGTGGCCTATCGAGGGTCGGCCGCTATTAGAAAAAATTTAATTTTTTTTTTTGATGTTGTTTGGAATGGTAGCGCGCCAATTTTTATATCTCCCCTAAAAACCTCAAAAAATTAAATGGGGGGACCCATAAAAAATCGCTAATATTAAAAAAATGGTAATAAGATAAACAATTGGGTACTTTTGCGGGAAGTCTCCTGAAAATAAACCGAGTTTTCCGATTGAAAAGTATGGACTTTCAAGAATTCTATACCATTTCAACGAAAAGTAGATTTTTTCCAATATAGAATACCTGGATAACTTTGAGCGGTTCGAGCGACCACCAAATATGTTTTGATTTTGAAATAAAAAACAGGGGTTAACTTTTTTTATATAGTATAACAACCCTAGGGGGTGAAAGCGTGAAAATTCCGACTTTACTTTTTCGCAATCATTTTTTGGACCATCCTAATTTACATATATACGAAGAACCTTGCACTCAATATTGTCTACTCAGCAACTCAATTGAATTAATCAAATGGTATTAAGATCACACTAAAGTGCTTTGAAGGATTAACTATCAACAATTCGAGTGGAAACAGCGGGTAAGTTAGAGATCAATGGTAAATGCTTTAAGAAAGTTCCATAGAACGCACTGCCATTTGTTTATAATAAAAAATTACGAATTCTACAGTTTTGCCTCGCTCCTGAGAAGTAATTTCATGTCACAAATGTAATTGATTAGATACTGTTAGACAGCGCAACTGCATTTTTGGGAGCGTAATGATTGCAACTCAGTTGAGTCTGAATTGATATAATGTATTTTGTTCAAGAAATTAGTCACTGAGCAACCGTTGGGCATTTCATCTATGCATACAAATACATATGCATATTTTTTATAAAATAAAATTTAGGTGCCTCTTTCGGCTCAATTTCGAAAGCTACTGAACCAAGCCGGTATTGAATTTCCTTATTGAAATTCAGAGATGGGGGTAGTGCACTAAACTTTCAGTATACACTATTTAGTAGCCAGTGATAGTGCAACATTGGCACCCTGAAATTGTGCATATGGAAACTGTGCATACGAAATAATGCATATGAAAAAAACCGAAATAATGCATATGAAAAAAACCGAAATAATGCATATATGCACAGTTTCGGTTGAAAACCGAAATAACGCATATGAGAAAAACGAAGTAATGCATACATGCACAGTTTCGGTTCAAAACCGAAATAATGCATATGACAAAAACCGAAGTAATGCATACATGCACAGTTTCGACTCAAAACCGAAGTAATGCATATGACAAAAACCGAAATAGTGCATACATGAAAACGAACTTCTCTCTGAGTAGGCGGCCTTCGGCCGCGCTTAGGGATTATAACCCTTACTAAGTAGAATTCTCCTTTCTGTCTTGCCGGAAAAGGGGGCCGAAGTATTTTTGCGCAGAACTTCTTTCTGCGTAGGCGGCCTTCGGCCGCGCTTAGGAATTATAACCCTTACTAAGTAGAATTCTCCTTTCTGTGTTGCCGGAAAAGAAGGGCGGAAGTATTTTTGCGCAGAACTTCTCTCTGCGTAGGCGGCCTTCGGCCGCGCTTAGGGATTATAACCCTTACTAAGTAGAATTCTCCTTTCTGTGTTGCCGGAAAAGAAGGGCGGAAGTATTTTTGCGCAGAACTTCTCTCTGCGTAGGCGGCCTTCGGCCGCGCTTAGAGATTATAACCCTTACTAAGTAGAATTCTCCTTTCTGTGTTGCCGGAAAAGGGGGCCGGAAGTATTTTTGCGCAGAACTTCTTTCTGCGTAGGCGGCCTTCGGCCGCGCTTAGAGATTATAACCCTTACTAAGTAGAATTCTCCTTTCTGTATTGCCGGAAAAGAAGGGCAAACGTATTTTTGCGCAGAACTTTTCTCTGCGTAGGCGGCTTTCAGCCGGGCTTAGGGATTAAAACCCTTACTAAGTAGAAGTAAATAATTCATATTAGAAAAAACGAAATTATCCATATGCACACTTTCGCTAGAAAACCGAAATAATGCATATAACAAAAACCGAAATAATGCATGCATGCACAGTTTCGGTTGAAAACCGAAATAATGCATATGAGAAAATACCGAAATTATGCATATGCATACTTTCGTTTTAAAAGCGAAATAATGCATATGAAAAAAAACGAAGTAATGCATACATGCACAGTTTCGGTTTAAAACCGAAATAATGCATATGGTAAAAACCGAAATAAAGCATACATGCACAGTTTCGGTTTAAACCGAAATAATGTTTAAATGCACAGTTTCCATATGCGCAATTTCGGTGCCCCGCAACATTTTGCACTACTACTCTTGATGTTTAGTCTTCAATTGCAGTATATCAGCCTCACTATAAAATGGTAATTATATTTATATTTCTATATTTCTATGACCGATTGGCTGTTGAAATAGAACCGCAAATTACCTATCGTCTTGAAAGAAAAATTGATGATAGGCAATTTGCAAAGTGTGAGTGTATTGGTAAAAAAGTGTGAGTGTATGCAAATTGAAACGAATTTGGGATTTTTTTTTTTATTGAAATGCATAAAATGTCTGGTTTTGTTTTTTCACTCACAAAGAATTGATATGAATGGAATTAATCTCAAAGGTATTTAATTTTTTTACAAAAGTTTTTATACAATACGTCAATTCTTTTATTTAAAGACCCTCTTAGCAACAATTTGTGTAATTTTAATTTTTACTGTTAATTTGTGTAGTTAAAGCCACCGCAAATTCAAGAAATCTAGCTTTAATGATGAACGAAATTTTGGTAGTTTGGAAACGGATTTGGTAGGCGTTTTGGTACTTAAAAATATTTTCAAGTGCCAACACTGTCACATACTTCCAATTCATATGTATAAATTCAGCATAAGGAGCTTATCTTCGGTTAGAGTCTTAGCCATTGAAGAGGTATTGTTTATACACCTAATGACTTTGATTGTTTGCATA